CCTTTGGTTAAGGATGGAGAAGGGGATGGAAAATGAACGAATTTGTTTTAAAATACTACTGTGTAACTTTTAAAAGCCTAGATTATAAAAAATATTAATGTGGACTTAAATATTAACTGTTGACTTTAATGTTACATAAACACTTGTTGAAAAGGTAAGTCTGTGCCTAAGTGTTCTTTTCTAATCAAATCTGACTGTGGTTTTTAAAACATATTTTTTTTTCCAACACATTCCAGTTTGCCCTTAGCTTTCTCGTTGACTTATTTTGGAAGAAAAGGTTTCTTAGCCTCAGCATTAGAAAATAATTTTGCCTTTTTTGCAAATTCTTTGTTAAGTTACTTGCAAGAAAACTCCTGTTCCACAGTATAAAGCATAAATCATCCCGGAACATGATACCATTTTTTTGATATCCTCATTGCAATCCCATTTCAGTTTGGGAAAGAATACCAAATTCTGTTGCTTTTTATGTCAAGTTTTGAGGCTAACATGAAGACAGTTAACAAAATTATTTATTTATAAAAAAAAAAAAAACGTTTCCTTTTGCAAGTCAGTTACTGAAAGCTTCTGGGCCTTTCTATTAGGATTAAACATAAATTATACCAAAATCTAAGCCCATTTAGCAGTTCTTTAGAGACAGTATAGAGTTCACATTTCTTTTGGGGGGCTGGCAGAGAAGTCATTGGTCATAGTTAAGGATTTTTAGTATGCTTGTGATTGGTATCACTGAAAATTCTTTCAGTTTAATGCAATCCTGATAGTGCTACTGTGGGCAGCCGCATGCAAAGCCAAATCAGTAAAAGCAATACATGCTAGCCAAAGAAATAGCATGGGCTGTCACAGTTGAGCTGTGTCTTTGAAAGAATTTATTCAGTACAGCATGCTTAATTTGTTTGTTTTTGTTTTGAAAGGTTTTCACACTGGGAGCAAATTAGAATAGGTAAGCCAGAAACAGAGCTGTGTTTTGGGGAAGAAAACAGCATCTTGGTGCTTCAGCTCTGCTACCTCCCTCAACCCAATGAAGGGTCTCAGTGGTAGCACAGCTCATTTCCACTTAACTGCATCCACATGGGAGGGATTAAACCAGGAATATAGAAAAGCACTTCTCACCCAAGATGGGAAGAAGAAGGGAGGACAGACTTGTTCTTTGGGTGACTGCATTGGTACTAGCAGCTGCATGCTCCTGTTAGGACAGAGCAGATCGGTGAGCTTGTTTGTGCCATGAAATGTGTGAAGCTAGTAATGTGCAATTGCATTAGTGGCCACAGTGCTCATTCCGACTTTATAGCTATTGTGCTCCACGAAAGATGTTTTCAGGATTGTCTGAGAAAAACTGGTAAGTGTGATTCAACTTGAAGTAAGCACAAATGCAAGGCACAGGGGTACCCTATTTGTTCCAGGCCATACAGTAATAGATAGCGTTACGGCAACTCCTTAGTAGTGAAGAAAAGCTGAAATTCTGCAGTGTTGGAGATGTACGCAGTGGAGAAAAATGTGGAACATTAGGAGTGTACATATTTGCCGGCTGTTTTAGAATGTCAAACCTAAATATCCCCCAGTTGAGGCAGAACCCTTTCAAAATGTTGGGTAAGAGAAAGAACATCTGTCTAGATCTGCATCCATGAACATGTTTCAATAGGATAAACTATGGGGAATTTGCACTTCTCTGTGCCTTGTGTCACAGAAGGAAATCTTCCCCATCAGTGTTTCAGCTGCATTTGTGCTTTGGACAATGAAGGTACTAAAGCAATTATCAAGGAATAGCCAATATGCTCTAAATTTATGGTTCCTTTACCCTTTTATCTAGTAAATTTTTTTCCCCCTGCCAATAATCTCAGAAGGTATCAAATTCAAACAACAAAGAAGGAGGGAGAGAGAGAGGCCTACTAAGTACAAGGCTATCGTAACTTATAACAAGGTTATAATATGCAGAAGCATTACTTACCATATCCTGCAATATTCATTGCCACTGCTAGGAGATCAGTGTAAGACAGATAAAAGTAAATACGTTTTTGCACAGCAGGTAGGAAACTTCCAGAATTCATTGCCGCAGGATGCTGGGTTGACAGACAGCATAAGCAGATTCCAGAAGATAATTAGAGATATTCATAGGCAACAAATCTAAATACTAAGTAGCCACAAAAGAGAACAAGAGATGTGCCCTCCAACATCGCCAACAGAATCATCGTTGATGCTGGCAGAGTACAGGGGGAATGGACCACAGAAAATGGCCACACTCACATGCTTTCCTTAAACAGGCGCTCCCTATGTCACTGACCACAGCATCATGCTGGCCTGGGTGCATGAGCATGTCTCATGTTCTTAGCTCACGTCTGCCTAACTAAGGAATTGTTAAGACCAGAGTGTCTCAAAGCTTCCCAGCAGTGCAGGCAAAATTTAATTTTGTGGCTGTGACAGAATTGCTGCTTTAGGCACCATCCTCCCCAAGAGCGGTGAGGTGGATTGAGAGCTGTGCGCGGCCACCATGATGTGTTGGCTGTGGGCTGGCTGCCCACGAATCACTCTGCTGCTGCCACTAAGCCAGTACAGGATGGCTTAATATTAACTGTTAATTAGCAGCTTCCCCGACACCCGGAGTATGTAGATCTGCCTCTCTCTAAGCCGTGATTTTTCTGCCACCATCATTTTGCAACCATAGCTAGGCACTCTGTATACGACTAGAGTTGGGATATTACAATGTGACAAAGCTCCCTGAATAATTTATATCTAAGGCTCCATTTCACACTTACTTGTTATCCTATGGGTTTTCCCCTAGGATATGCCATCTAATTTCAATTTAAAACGTAAGTTCCATAAATTACCACTGCTCAGAAGTTGCTTTAACATGCCATTTATGAAGGTAATGGTGCACATTGTAGCAGAAGTGTTTCAAAGTTTCCACTCCTGGGATTACAGATTCACAGTAAACTGGTAAATGGGGAACAATGAGGAGTTTGCTAGAAAATTGAACAAATCCACCTTAACATATCAAAGCAAATTGCACCGTAATGTTGTGAACTCTGTAGGGCAATGTTTCTGCAACAGCATGGACACCTAGATTCCCTCCTTGCATTAAGCAGAAGGGAAGTGTGTATATTGTGTGTCATGTGTACTTAGATACCAGCTCCTCAAAGTGCACTTAGGAAGAGTATTAAGACATATTTATGGTAAGGCATAAATAAGGCCCATTATACTGACAGTTCTTAATCCTTAGTTTAAAATTATGTGAATTTTGTTTTATTCCCTGAGAATACGATTTTCTAAAAAAATCGTAACTTCAGAGAATAGCCAGTCTAGGTAACAAGTTCAACAATGATTTAATGACATGTCATCCAAATATTACTAAAATGTGTATAAATCTCTGTTACCTTTCAAGAGAAACAGAAGTTACAGTATTTTTACTTTAAAAAGTAGTATAAATTATATAGCAGTAAATGCATTTCAGAAAATTTCACTTTGTTTATATGTCTTGCCTTACTTAAAATCATGTCATTGCAGTCATTAGGACTATTTTTCTGTGCATGAGGCCACATTTTGGCAAAATGTCTCTCCTTAGGTATTTAGGCTTAATTCTTATTCTTAACATTTATTATATTTAATAGGCTTTAAACACCTGCTTAAATTAATGAAATTAAGTATTTCTTGCGTAAGACTAGCAACTAATTTGGCATCTGCTGATTTTATAACAACGTTTTATATTTTGTTTTATTACTTAGTCATACAACTGCATACTTCAATAGGAAAATATAATGTAGCATTCTCCTACCAAATAAATGTGCAAATCTAGAACTTCTGATGGAAATTACTTAAGTAGTGTACCCAAAAGAAAGGGATTGATATTTGAGTTATAATGTACAAAGCTGCCAGATACAAGTAATGTAGCACTGAATCCCCAGGCTGTATATATCTTGCTTTAGTGACTAGTATCTAAGGACCTGAGATTCTCTGTCAGTTTGTGAGATAGGATTCAGTAAGCTAGCTTTTCATTCCCCGTCATGGACCTATCTTTCTGGTGATTTCCCTCATGTCAATTTGAAAGTAGATCTTGTTACACGTAAGTAAAGACTGCATACCAGTAATAAATACATTCTGCTGTCTGTTAGGCAAATGGCATGAACTGTGGAGCTCCTTGAGAGTCTTCAGGAAAGCGTTAGGTATCACTTGCCAGTGGGAGGGTATATGTGAATCTGCAAGATGGTCCCTTTTCTACAGTGACCTTGACTGGCCTAGGGGGTGATTGCTGTCAGTGCTTTGCCTTTGGCCTGTTTGATGCGAGTTCATGAGGCACAAGAGGAAGGTTTCACAAAAGAAAGAAATCCAGGATTTTAAGTCAAGTCTTATATTGTTTATGATAACATGCGTAACAAGCAATTATTTGAGGGAAGGATGCAGAAAGGGGGGGAAAAGGGATGGGCTGTGATACAATGCAGGAACAGAAACAAATTTACATTGTGTGTAAGATGTGCTACTTTGAGACTGATATGCCTGGTTCAGGAAAAACATCCAGCGCATGCAAGTGCGCTTGTGAATGTGAATGGCCTAAATACTTTTAGAATCCATTTACAAACCACTTAAATCTACCTCAGCCTGCCTGCATGATTTCTGATGCTTGTCAGCCACACAGGACCATATTGCTCATCACACAAATGGAAAGCTGTTTTCACTTAGCTTTCCAAGCCTCTTGCCAGACTGTGGGCCTTGAAACCTCACAAGAACTATCTTTTAATTTAGGAAAGATCTTGGCCTGTTCCAGTACCATTCTGTTTCCTTTTTTGTTTCTCTTCTTTTCTCTGCTTGTTCTTTTACTTTATTTAGTCATTCCCATCTGGGATGATGAGGTTGTAACAGTGGCAGTTCATTATATCCAGTAATTCAAATGATCATTGAATATTCTTTGATGGCAGGTTACTATTCATAAGTTTCTGACACTACTGTTGCTGATGTATATGTTGCATATACATGCTTCATGTGTCTGATTAAATGCATTGCTTTGAATCCAACAGGCCAGAACCAGTACTGTGGACAAAGGACGGTGGAGAACTACCAGATCCAGAGAGAATGGTTGTTAATGGCAGGGTCCTAAGCATCAGTTTCCTAAACAAAACAGACAATGGCACATACCGATGTGAAGCAAAAAATCCTATTGGCCGAAACAGCACAGAATATGTCCTGATAGTACATGGTGAGTGTGTTCTCGTTAGTTTTTTGGTGCATGTTATACATATGTAGCATTTCAAGAAAATACAATCAGTTGCTTATGATCATTACCAAAGGAATAGCAAGAAAAAGCCAGAAGTATAATTGCACTTTTATTGGTGCTATCGTTTAGTTCTGGGGAGTGTGTTTACTTCCTTTTATTGGCATGCCTCTCTTCATGCAGTTTAAACAAAATATATTCACTTCTGTTGTGAGCTTTTTGCAAAGTAAGCACCTGTAAAAATGTTTTGCAGTATGTAGGTACGGTTTTATAAAAACTTGCCTCGGGCATGAGCTGTTCAGATAAAGCTGGTTACAAAAGGATATATGAAGAGAAATACGGAAATACCAGACAGGCGGATGCTTGAGGTTTTTTGTTTAGTTTTTTATAGACCACCAAAGACAGGACATCAGATACTTTTCTTCACACAATTTATAGCCCACTACTGAGGAAATTCAGCTTATACAACTTAGCTGATCATCATCTGGCCTATCGTTACAGTCAATCCTCAAAAATAAGTCATGTCCTAAATTCATGATACTTCTTCTAATAAAATAAAAAAATAGTAAGATTCACATTAAATTACAGTTGATTTGCTTTCCTTAATTAATTAGGCAACAATATGTGTCACATGAAAAGAATAGCTTGCTTTTACATTGATCATGAAATAGATTGATATAACTCAGGTACAGGAGAAACTGTAATGCAAAGTTAGCATTTGCTTTTAACACAGCTTTGCAATATGGATCTAGCAGTCTCAAAACATAATGTTCTCTTATCACAGATATGTATGTGATAATTCCTGGAAGATTGTAAGTTCTGTAATTTGAATTTTAACCTAAGTGAATATAGAGGCAGAAGCTCCAGTGTAGTTCATGATGGTACTTTTTTTCCCTCTAGTTTTTAAGAAAATGCAACTTCTTATAACTATGACAAAATAAAATGCAACAATCTAATACAAATGCGCACTATATAGATTTTATTTGCTCATGATGAATTCAGGTATAACAAATATATGTTTCTTTGGTGTTTATAAGGTCTCAAAAACATTTTTCACTAAAGGTTTAACCTGCCTTTAGGTATTTGGCAGAAAACTTCTAATAAGCGCTACTTTCAGCTTTCAGTAATGAGCTGTTTTTTGGCACTGTTGATGAAATGTCATTTATCAAAAGAACCCTTTAGATTACTTTTCATTTTTCTTAAAGTTCACTATTAGTTTATGTAGGATTAGTGGCACAAGTAAGGAGGAGGTCTTTGCATGAGGAACGCAGAGCCTGTACTGTTGCGTGAGTATTTCTGTATTAAAGACAAATAGAAAAACTAAACCCTCTAACCTCTACTTACATTGATTACTACAAGAAAAAGAAAACGTGTCTTTTACATCCTGGAGGTGGTGTTGTATTGGTTGTTGGCTGCAGGCACAAAGTGTGCTGCTTTTGATGAGGTAATGGCTTCTGTGCTTACCAAATGTTGAAACTTCTGTCGTTTGTGTTTTCTGCCCAATTTGTTTATGTGACTATTTCTGAAAATATGGCCTTTTATAATGGCAGATTTTTCCATCAGTGGTGACTTTGCAGTATACTCTATCAAAGAATATTTCACGATCTCCTATGTGTGTTTCACATAGTGGCATGCCCCCTGTTGATCTGATTATCTTGCAACAACTTCATGGCAGTCTGTAAAATCATTCATTATCAGGAAGGCATTTTGTTATGTTTGGCAGCACATTAGGCATGTTATCAGGTTTAGCTTGCACATTGCTGACCTTTTCTGTTCTGAGTACCAGAGTTTTCCTAATTGCATTTCTGCAATTCCAGTGTTAGAACTAGAGATGGTAAATGTCAGGTGCTTCCGAGGTTTCTGAAACAATGAGAGTAGTGTGACAGAATATGTGATGATGTTTAGTGCTTAACAACTTACTGCATTTCAGAGTTGTTAAGTTTATTTTAAGTACAGAAGAGACTGACACAATTATTTTATCAAGTGTAGCACAATCAGTTGTATAGATCAATTTAAGCAGTGTCTTACCCCTTCTTTAGCTCATTACATTCACGAATGTCTTTAGTGAAACATAATCCTCCTAAAATGATACAATACTTTCTCTCTCTCTTTCTTTCTCTCTCCTTCTCTGGGGGCTAGCAAACCTACTTTTTATCATTTTCTGAGGTCCATTCTTCCATTTAATAGAGGATGTATTTTTTTTCTGTATCTTCTTAAATATATCTGGGCGCATCCTTTGATTTCTCATCCCTTCCCCTGTGCCTAATGCATTGATGTAATTTTTTTGTCCTACTCCTTTGTTAGAGCTGATTTATCATATAAGTATGCCTTCTTACCTTGAATGTTAGGTTTTTAATACAAGTACATGCCAGATTTAACATCAGGGGAGGTACGTTCACAAAGATGTGGGAGAGAAGAGGGAAGGAATCTGCATGAGGAGAGAATCTCTTCACAAGAGATTCTTTTAAATTGCAGGTCAAGGAAGTAAGGTCTAGGAACAGTGACCTACCAGATCTGTAAGGAGTACGGCATAAGTGCCCTACATGCTAGTAGCCACCGCCTTAATGGAGCCTCTGGAAGTCCAGCTCCACAGTTATTAAGCAACTAATAGTTTTTCTAAGAAACTTTCAAGCCCAGAGGAGTTGCAGTGATGGAGAGAAAGAATGATAATCATATGCCCAAGTTTAGAGAGATGCTATGGCTGATTCAGTTTTTCCAGGCGAGCTTGTGTGAGAAGGCAGACGACATCAATGGAAGATATCGTCTGCAGAGGCAGGGAAGTGTAACCTGATTCACAGCTTTGCTTTTCTTATCCATACTATGATTTCCTCCACATTTTTTCCTTTTTTTCACTTCTACTTCAACAGATTTTCTGTCTTTCTGTTTATTAAGGTTGTAAAAGTTTTGTCTGGCTTCTATTCCTTTTTTCCTCTATGAAATCCCCCTCTCAGTGGGACTCAATCTATTAATTCTCTCAATTTCTGAAGTTATCTTCCTAACTCAGAGGAGATTTAGACAGCTTTAGCATAGAGAGAAGCTTGCCTAAAAATGGAAGGTATAGTTTATCATAATCAGAGATTAAGGGTAAGCAAAGCATTTATACATATTAATTATACAAACCAAGCAAAGAGCATCTCATGCCTTTAACTGGACCAACCTAGACACAAAATTATACAGAAAAGTAGTATTTTTTTCCACTGTAAATGATGATGAGGTAATACTGTTTTGATGTTAAGTGATAGCAGTGGAAATAAATATTCCTATAAGCAGATGAATGTCAATCTGTCTAATATAATTAGTATCTGATAACATAAAAAGTCTTTTTAGATTTGTAGTATAATTAAAGAAATCAGACTTCAGAGGAATTGAATATATTTGAATCAGGTAAAAGGCATGGGCTATTAAATAGGCTCATGCTGCTTTGCTGAATCAATATGGCTGCTACTTTCATTTTTCTTAACTTTTATTAATAATAATAAATGTCAAGAAAACACTTCATGAAGCAGGAAGGTGGGCACAAAGTCAGAGTTTATAGGCAGCAGTACAAAGGCAAGACATGTAGTCTGCTCAAACATTTGTCTCGTGCAGTAACAAAGGCACAAGCTTTAATGCCTGTAGCTGTTGTCATTTCTGTATTCTAATTGTCGAGCTTAGTGCTTTAGAAGTGCACATTCTGGCTAGATATATTACACCCTTTCTTTGGTAATGGGCCCCAGGCAATTTTCACTCTCTTCCAATTTATTAAGAATTTGTGTTTACCTTTGTCCAAATACTAGTCATTAATCATCAGTAAGCAGAGCTAGCTGTCAAACTCATGATGCTCAACCCAAAAACATAGATTCTACTTGCAAAGCTTAGGTAATAACTTCATTGATTTAGCTGGAGTTGAGAAAGAAGGTGGTCCATCATAATCAAACTGAAGACACAGCTGTTATGTATGTAGCAGTAGTTCATAACCTCTGGATGTTATTGCTGAAGACTTAGTTCAACACCACATCGAGTGGGTAATAGAAGTCCACATGGTTGGGAAATCTTCTTAATGGAAACAGCAACATTTCATAATTTGCAGACTTATTTGACATAAAGTACCTTGGTGAAAAACCCTGATTTGCCAATCTAAAGACATGCATTCAATTAATTGAAATATTCAGAGCTATAATGTGTCGTGTATCAATTATCTATCAAAGCAATACGGAAATTTAACATGAATCAGCAGCTGTGGATGGTCAAGGCAGTTTTTACTGCCACAATTATACATACAGTAGAAAGCGATTGAGCCAGTAACTCAGTATCTCTGGAGAGTAAAAAGTGGCATAATGTATTCCCTTGACTTCAGCCTCTCAATTATTTTGTATTTTTTTCTCGGGCAAGCTATTTTTTGCAAATAAAGGCAACTGAAAGACTGAGTTACACACTCATTAATATTTCGAAATGTACTTTTGAACAGAAGATCTCCTACAATGTGTAAGACCAAGGGTCCCGCTGCACCTTTCCTTTGGACTATAATGTATTTATCTTCCACCTCCTTGTCCAGTCCCATTTCAAAACATTTATCATCTTAGCTTTCACAATAACCTGTGGCAACAAGTTTCTGAATTGAATTATGTGCTTTGAGGGAAAAGTATTCTCTTTTGTTTGTTTAAGCCTGCTGCTTGATCTCTTCACTTCCCAACTTTCCAATCTATTTGGCCTCTTTTGCTGTTTGTGCTGTAAGTATGCAGTTAAAATCACTTTTATTTTCATGCTGCTTCCCTTCAATAGATTCTGAAGTATTTCCACCTCGCTCTCAATTTCTCTCTAATTATGATCTTCGACTCTGCATTTCCTGGATTCGTGTCCCTTGTACCCACTCTCCTTTTATGGTCTCTTTTCTACCTTTTTCTTCATTTTTGGTCTAGTAGTAAATCTCTGTGATTGACTATTCTCCATATCTGGAACAGCAGTATGCCAAATTTGCATCAGACACCTTAGTTTATTAACTCCTG